CCTTCGAAAAAGTTTAAAGTGAGAATTATTTCTTCGTTTTTTGTGATGTTTTAGCTTTGTTTCATAGAGACCTGTCCATAATTACAATAAATTTAATAATTAATTAAACATGTTTATTACGTATTTATTTTGCATTATAAATTTGTTGAAACAATTTTTTATTTATTTTATTTTCCATTCATACTAATAAAGAATGCGTTTACATTGTATATGAGTATCATTTTTCTGCCTACATTATCAATTATTAGTAGATTACTGCCCGGTTTATTTCTATTCCACAGATCAGAACGCTTGAGATCGTTTGTTTGAATTCTAATAAAAAGGCGGCAAGAGCAAAATCATAGACATGACTCAAAATTATTTCGAGCCTGCGCAGGGGCTACGGAGTCTTGCGGTTTTTAACGTCGCCTAACACTGTAACGGTAGACCCTTTGTAGATCTATTATCTATGGTAGACACCAGTGTACACCAGTAGACACTACAATTTTTTTTACACCTATGTTATGATCTATGTTTTACATATACAAATAAATTTGACATTGTTGTAGTTAGAGGAATTAAAAAGTAAACTGAAAAGTCATATGAAGTGGACAAAGAAAATTATAAGCAAATAGTTTAAATTCCATAATGTTGAAACCTAAAGCGTTAACTCAAGTGTTAAGTCAAGCTAATACTGGAGGTGTAGAAAACACTTTGTAAGTAATCACATAAAAATTGAAGATACAAAATATTTTTGAAACTTTCAGGTTATTGAATCACGAAGGATCTTTATTAGCGTACAGTGGATATGGAGATAAAGATGCTCGGGTTACAGCTGCTATAGCTTGTAATATATGGTGTGCTTATGAAAAACATGGAAGAAATGTTTTCCGAGAAGAACGCCCAGAAATTATTCTTATGGAATGTATGGAAGGACGGATAGCAATTACACAAGTAGCTCATCTGCTGTTGTGCTTATATGCAAGAAATAATGTCGGATTTGGAATGTTAAAGGAAAAGGCAAATGCACTGTCTTCATATTTAGAAGGTCCCCTCAAACAGATTGCTATTTCATAAGAATTATCTTTGGAGTAAACAAAGCAGTGTCTGCATACATTTATATATTTTTTTCAATAAAATTATGTTTATTATTGTATAAATCTATAAATTATATTTAGTCTACAAAAAATAAAATCACACTTTTATGATTTGATTGTACCTAAACCTTTACAAAGTAAAACATTCTTCCAGTTTAATTTATCTCTAAAGTGAAGCAATTATTTAAAATAAAAAATTAATCTTACAGCTAGGGCAGTCTGTATTTTAATATACCATCTATAAAAAATGCCACCATATATACACATAAAAACTCAAATAAAAATATACTTTCAAATTACAAAATTAAGTATTTTCAGTTTACTTTATGACTTAAATATGTGGAGTACATTTCATATATTAGAAATATCAAGAAATATATTTAAC